ATAAGTACAAGCAACATGACAGGCCTATTTTTCTTGTTCGTCGTCGTCAGAACTTTCATTTGAGAAATCCGTTCTTAAATGTGTAACACAAACACGTTTTCTGAAACAAATAATTATTAATTATTTACCTGACACTTATAACATTAATTTAAAAACTTGCAAGTTGTTAATGAAAAACAAATTTCATTTCCTCTACTTACTTCTGCTCATTTTTTAATCGAGTTGATGAATTGTCAAGCCAAGCAGCTATAGCCATTTTTATTTGGTCCTCCGTAGCTGACGGCATGTGCATTTGTGCAGCTTCTGTTATGATAATATATATTTATATAAGTCTGTAAAAGTGAAAGATAGATGTGTTTTTCCCCAGTAGTGTTTTTATTTACTATGTTTATTTACTATATCAATTTAACATAACTAAATTTGAAATATTAAATAAAATAAAAACAATGTTGTAAAAAATTTCAATTTATAATCTAAAAAAGATTTATATATTAACAATTACTCACTATATATACAGGTGTTGAACATTAGATCTACAAATCTTTTTTTTTTCTTTTGACCCTTATAACTATATTGTGTTGCAACAGAATTACTTATTGTAGTGTTTAAAATATTAAACACATGAGACCGCACATCAGGACCTCCTTTTTGCTTTAAAAATTCAACCTGAAAAAATTGTTAAGTTAACAGAAATATATATAGTGTAAAATTCCTTACCATTTGTATACCAAGTGTTAGTCAACTAGTCTGAGCAATAGGCATAATTCAAATCGAACTTCACTCGGTGAGTTCGTTTGATTTATCAATTATACTTACAACTTCATCAAAAAAACTTCTTTTTTTTTAAACAAGCGTCAAACTGCTCTAGATCGTTCGTAGTTTTTATAATGAACGTTTCATATAATTTATCTTTTGTTCGGTTACTCAACTGGCAATGACTTGTTTCTGTAAGAGAAACTTTTTTCTCGAGAATCGTAATTTTAGTCATTATAATTTCGTTCTGTTTTACGATTTTATTTTGCTTTGTCAGAATAAGCCTCAATACAGCTGAAAAAGAAAATATGACATAAAGTGTTTCGTAATATTTTGCGTTTTACGTGTAAGCGTATAAGTGCATAAGTACAATGTATTTAATATTATTTTAGTTCTATTTTTATTTGTAAAAATAACAAAATATCTAAAAAAATAATTGATTACTATTGAACTTCTATTTACGTTTAACGTGATAAATTAAAATTTCATTTTAAGTCCAATAAATTTAGAATGATGCTTTCTGTATCGTAAAATAATGAATATAATATATAAAATACCTACTTGACAAGTTATCTGCACTAAACGATCCTTTTTGTTGAGTATCAGTTTGTGAATTGTCGTTCCTATTTTTAGCACCATTATCGGTAATCTCTGCAAAAGTGACATTTATGTGTACTACTTTTTCGACAGTTTAAAAAATTGCTTTTTATCTTATATATTGTGACTGTGTAACATATTATTTCTGTGATAATCTGAAAATATCTTATTTTCAAGCGATGTGACCAACATTCAATATTTTATGGAATCAGTATGGCGAATAAAATATTAAAGAATATTTTTTATTAATAAAATTCTTAAATATATTTCATATGTTGACATATATGTTGATTTAACAATGAAAAAATTCGTTATTATAATTTTTCTTTTTTTGTTAAAATAAGTAAATATTATGTGTAACGTGTAACTGTAAGAACGCTTATACACGAGAACAAATTTTAAATTAAAAAATAAATATCAATCTTAAAGTCATAAGTCTCAAAATGATAAAAAATAAATAAAATTTTAAAACATTCAAATTATACGATAGTTTTAAGAAAGAATATATTTAAAAAAATATTATATGTTTATTACCTTCACATTCTCCAGGTGGCAACATATTTTTTTTATTTGTCGATATTCTATTCTTAGAAGTAATTGCGTTAACATGATCGTTTTCTTTAATACGGCTAAATTCGGTTTCGTCGACATTTTCAACATTGCTTTCATTTTCTCTGAGTTCCGATTCTGAATTAGAATTACAAAACTGTTCTGAGTTTATAGTTTCTTCATTATTGACTATTTTGGTAGATACGTTCTTATGTGACGTAGCATATCGTGAATCAGTTATGATTTTACAAGGTGGATTGTAAGAATTATTGGTATTAATATCACACACATTCGTTTCTTGAGTTTTATCACATACGCTGGTAATATTTTTTTGGTGTGACTGCGACGTAGTACTCTTTGAATGTACTTTTAAAACTTTTGTAGGTGGACTATAAGATTCATCAGAATCAGAATTATCACTTGAATATGCCTTTTTTTTACGTTCTTTGCGAGTGTGTTTATTTTTCTCTATATTTTCAATATCAGAAAATAGGTCGGCATCTTTTCTTTTTTTAGAAGCTTCTTCGTAGTCATCTATTTAAAAAAGAATGAGAAAGTTTTATATAGATGTAACATAAATAGCATATTTATGTTAAAGCCATCAAAAGTATGTAAATTACATAATATCGTACATTTTTACATAAAACATAATTAAAAGCTTGAATAATCTTGCCTATTTTTGTAAGGATTCTGGGCCCCTTGCGTATCTACTATAGTGACAGAACTTAGCTTAAATGAAAACACAATCGTTTAAGCCAATGTTGTTCAGAGATAAAGTCTTTGGAACATTGGATGCATTGACACACTTTGACATAAAATATAAAATGTCTCGTAAATTATTAATTTTTTATAACTCTAATATACTCTGTCACGCGCTTTTCGTTATTCGCCAGGCGCGACTAAGAACGAGGCGGCTTCCGCGAACGAGACGCTGCCTTCGCCGTCCCGGGCGAATCCCGGGAACGGACGTTACAGCGGCCAAGTTGGGCGCCAGACGCGCTCGCGGGCGGCGTCAATTATGGGTCGCGAGATACCCGAGCTCTTCGGGCGAAAGCGACGTCGATCCGCCCGGTCGACGCGACGCCGCGGCTCAGCCTCCTCGACGCGAGAAGGGCCGGCTGCTCTTTACCGTCGGCAGAGTGGCAGGATCCCTAATCACGGGCCCGCGGGAATGGGACGTCGGGACGGAACGCGACACACGCACACCTTAGACGAGCACACGAAATGATCTCGACTCGGGTAAGAGAATAATGTAGGCGGTTTAATAGATCGGATACAATAAAACGAAGAAAAAAAAAGAGAATGGGCCAGGGGCCTCCGCTGAGGCGAATTCGCGATCCGTCGGTCTCCCGAGCCTCCCCGCGGAAGGCCATTCACGCTCGCGGCCCGTGACCCGCGGCTGACACCCGGCGTGCCGGCTCGCCGCGACCGAATTTCCCGGTGCGGGCCAAAAGGCGCCCGCTCGAACCACGGCGCACAGGGCGCCCGTTCTACTCTCCCCGCCGAGGTCGCAACCACCGGTACTCGCCCGCTACGATCGCCCGATAAGTCCGCGGCCGTTCCCCGGGAGCCCCCGCGCTTGGCACCGTCGTTCCGCTCGCGACACGAAATGGCCGGCTCCTGCTCCCCCGCGGAGCGGATGCCCTACGGCCCGGAACACTAAACGAACGCGGCGCGGTGCCAGAACGCGAGCTAACCCCCTCGGATGCACGCGGCTTTCACATAAAGAGAGATTCCCTCGAGGGCCACCTCACCGATACGTCCTCTGGATCCCACGGCGCGGTCCCGGTCGGCACTCTCCTCCTTGGCTCTAGCCACGGCCTCGTCTCGTGCTCGGCACTCAGGTCGCCGGCTCGACGCACGTTCTCCGACGCGAAGTTACGGTAGCGAGGATCCGCGAACGAAAGGCGGAAGATCCGGCGCGAGCGGGTCGATCACCCGATCGCTCACTGCGATCGCGAAAAAGGGGCTGCGCGAGATAGCGGCGCCGCGGATCCGCCAATCAGGGGGTCGCTCGCCCGGCGTGTCGCCGGGCCCGCAGGGGCGCTATCGCTATCGACTAGCTTCCGGGCGCAAAATTCGCCCCGCGCGGCTCGCAGGGCCGGGGCGGTCGATCCTGGGCCCGCTCTCCGGTGCTCTGGTCCTTTGGTTCCGCCGATCCGGCTGACTTTCCGGGGACCTCCGTCCGCGCTCGCCCCTCGGCTCCTTGTCCGGCCGGCGCCTGGTCTCTCGCCCTCCAGGGGCGACTCCGCGTGCTCGGGCCCCAGGCTCCGGGGCGGCCCGGCCCCTCGGCGGTCCTCGCCCGTCGGCGTCCCTCGCCCGCGCCCCTCGACTCGCCCCGCTCTCCGTCCAACTCCTCGGCTCCTCCGCGGCCGCCGCTCGCTGGCCTCTGCGCGCTCTCGCCCCTCCGCTCCCGCCTTTTCTCCTCCCGTGCTCGACTCCCGGCTCCGCTGTCAGCTGGTCTTCCGGGATGATCCGGTCGGCTCGATGACGCTCAGAAGGACGCGATACAGAATAGAAAAGTCTCGGGTAAGCGGGCAGTCAAAAAAAAAGGTGTGTTTGCGACCCCGGGAGGTTTCCCTACGGCCTCGCGCGGATCCTCTTTTCCCGGGCGGACCGACACCGCGCCTTGGGACGACAGCGGGGAGCTGGCACGCGGCAGCTAATCCGCCACGTCACAACTCTTATATGCAGAATAATTAGAGGAATCATATTATGTAAAAAAGATATAATTTAATTCATCTAAAAAAATGGTAAAGATCTTAAAAAATCAATTTTTT